AGATTCGAACCCAGGACCTATCGGTCTCGCACGCGAGCGCCTGACCACTAGATCACTGAGCCGGCCGGCATCCAACGGTGTTAGTGTCTAACTTCAACTAATCCACGATATTAAGTGACATAATCACTACTGTCATCAGTGATTTACTATCACAAGAGACCCGGTTGAACTCCTCTGGTCACTGCTTCTCAATAGAACTCCAGGATATACCTCTTTAAGCCAGTCGGAACAGCAGTTCAGTGCTTACAGGTTTTCCATGGTGATCTAGCTTTAATTGACTCATGATCTCAACTATGGAAATTACTATAATATCCACAAAATAATCGTTTAACTTTTCTCCGAATGTCATACAATAATGTAAATAATGCTATTTACCATCATGGTTTCGGTTGAATATCCTACTAATCAGCTTCAACTAGCATTTTATAAAAGAGCATGAATGCACTATATGGTTAACACATATACACACATAATTAATTAGTTTGAGTAAATAGGAATAAATGAAACAATATTGCAATATGTGTATCAATAGAAAGTAAATATTATATAGAGTGAAGTGAAGGATACCTTTGTTTGTAATCGTTCTTGCCTGATTCTCCATATTGTCCGATTTAAATATTTGTAGAGCAATATACATACACAACATCATATATAATAATAGTTTAGTGTTTCAGTATATTGACATTTCAGGAATCATTCTATTCAACTCCTTAAGTTTACTTCAGATCCAATCTATTCTGTCATACTTTTTTATATGGTATTCTGATGTTCTCTTTAAAGAATAATAGATCTACCTATGTCTATTGTTGTAAAATCCGGTATTAAGAATTCCACTTAGTCACTAATTATTAAAACTGGTTAATTAAAAATTAATAAAATTATTCAATGGTAAGTATATCACTTCTCTCAGATACTTTAAAATTGATTCCCCTGTAAAAGTTTCAAATTAATGGGATGTATAATATCAAAAGGGATGTTTCTAGAGATTTTAGTAATTCAATAGTTGAATTCATCAGTCAATTAGAGCAAGACCACCATGAAAAACCTGGAAATATTGGACGGCCTTTTCGTCCTAATATGGAACTGTTGGTTTCTAATCTCGTCTATGGGATTGTAGATGCGCACTGTTGAGGAGTCGCACAATAGGACGAAACAACCTTCAATTGCTTCCAGGTTTTCCATGGTGGTCTAGCTTCACGCATTCAACTATTAAATGTAGAATAACTCATGTTTTTTTATTCATGAAAAAAGCGATATTATCCGCTACACTTTAAACTAATATCTATTTTTTATCCAATAATGATTAATCAGCTATGCAAATTATATGAAATGATTCAATTGACTAATTAATATATATATATATAGATATATATGATTAGAATTGTTTGTCGGATCCGCTTCTCTTCATCTCTTCTTTTGGTTTTCAATTAAAACTTTAATGATTAGTTACAATATGTTACATATCTAGACTGTTTTTGTTTTATTTTGTCTTTTGTTTCATTCCTTAACTAATTGTACTTTTCAAAGTTTAATTTTGATTTAGAAATTTATTGTTTAAATAAAGTTACTCCGTTAAAATAGGATGTTATAATAGTAACACTTGAAATAGAGTCAATATTCCGACATGATCTATTCAATAAAGAAACAAATTGATCTAATATGGGTTGGTAGCTATGACATATTATTGACTTAATTTGTTGGTGAAAAGATCGTTTGTTTGTTTGTGTGTGTGAGAGAGAGAGAGAGAAAGGGAGATCGTTTGTGCTTTCCGATAGTTGATTTCCGGTTACGATATATGCTAATGAAATGAACATGGAAAAAGAAATCATCTACCGATATGAATATTACATATGGTATTAATAGAATTCTGTGTGAATTTTTTTTCTGAAATTGCTTATTCCTGACAATAATGTGAGAGGAACTCAGTACTTCATCAGTTAGTCAGGTATAATCCACATAGAGCCTGAAATAAATGCTTATTATTCTAAAATTCCATATAGTATTAGCGCGATGATACGAGATAACTAAATATGAACATCAAAGTAGTCACAATAGACATGTTAGTGAGAAAAAGTAAATACTGGATGTTTCGAGTAGACAGAATAAAAAGATAAGCATGGAGGATTGAACGCAAAACTTTAGGTCGATGACAAGATAAAGATATGATGCTTTGATCAAGTCTTACCGATTACGAGTCACATCGCTCAATGTTTCCAATCTCATTAACCCTAATAAGATAGTCTGAATCTATCAACGTGGTTGGACCACGTATTGCGTATGACTTAACTGCGATTACCACGACACACAATGCTGACTAGTGTTAGAGACGGTTAGAAGAAAGTTAGGGGTGGCCAAACAAAAACGTGACATCAGTCCTTCAAGTCAATCACTTCGAATCTGAGCCATGTTGGTAGATCCACACTACTTGGTTGGCCTCCACGTAACTATCGTAATCAATGGTTGGAGACTGTGTGTGACATGGCTCAGAATCGATCAAAATGGTATCGGTGTCAGTGTACATATACACTCTCTGTCTCCCCTTAAACTATGAGATTAAGATCGCTTCATATCTTCCTTTCTACGAACTAGTTCCTTCTTCCTGTATTATATCCTTATATGCAATCTTTCATATATTACCATCAGTGAATTAACTACTTCTATGAATCCGGTGTTTATCTTGTAGTGCTAATGAGTGAGGTATGGCAACGTGGACAGATGCATATATGTTTCTGGTCCTCCGTTGTAGCTGACTGACTGACTGATTAACGTGACTTAGTTCGGCATGCAATGATCTCATGGACTGATGTTACTCATTCTTTTGGCCTCTTCTATTTTTTTTCAAATGACGCCTACATGTAATATCGCATTTCCAGATAGGAGGTAGGTGGACATACATAGCACATGTTCAAGATAACTTAGTTGATAAAATTTCACAACGACGCCAACCATTATATCATTTTCACCAATTATTCTATGTCCAACTTCAGTATTCTCAGCTAGGTTATTTCACGATAAGTGATAAATGCTTGGAAGACACATGTTTTCAAATTTCTACAACTCATGCATCTCCTAAACATAGTCGCATACATTAGTCTCAATAAAAAGACAGACATATTTTTCAAATTTATTTATGCGTTCCAAATTACTCTACAAGTAACAGACTTTCGACCCAGTGATTCGAAGATAACTAACGCATCATCAGAATTTTATATTGCCACTCAATGCAGTGTAAAATATCGCCTGTGTGCATCTAATGATCTAAAACCAAGCAGTTATTCCAAGACTTTTGGTTTTAGCAAGTCTATAAATGTTCTTGTTAATAATTATGAACTCTTAAAATATCATACAAAAAGAGTTTGTTCAATCAATTTGTATTTGAGCAAGTTTATCCATCAAATGTATCATTCTAATTTGTTCAGATATTTTGTAGGTTTTCATGTGTATCCATCTTATCTAAGACCTTTGTAAATTATAATAATATACATTTTGTTGTGTTCTTGGCTAGTGAATGTTTATTATCTACACTCTAGTTTTCCTATCTGTAGTTTATGCATGATTTACCTTATGTAAAGATTGAGTCTTCTTGTATTCACTAGTTTCAGCTGTAGTACTAATATCCTTATCTACTTTATTTTTTTCTACCTAGCTGCAGTGTATTCACAAGTATGAAATGTATGTTTGTATTGCTTCGGTTGAGAAAAACACAAGGAAACTTATTTATGCGCCAGTATTGTCGAATTTTTTTGTCTCCGTATTGTCATTTTCACAATAGCCATCTTAATATGTTGAAAACAATGAAAGTTAGACTTACATTCATCAAATTATGTCAACTATTTATTCTTTTTTTAATTGAGATTATCAGTGGTTTAATATATATACATTCCACTCAGTTGATGTTCCTTCCGGAAATACCATACCATAAATTGACATCAGAATATTACTTTAAGTAGAAGGAATCATTTTATAGTTTCTTAATATATTGAAATAGAATGATATTTGATGGGGATTTGCTCTTAAAATAGCATTAAAAGAATGAAGTTTGGTGTAAGTGAATAGAAAAGTCTAACAAGCATTAGTGTTATGATTTAAGGTTACAAGTTAGAATTAAGGTTTAGAACTGAGTCAGGGTTAATATTAAGAGTAGTGATTCGGGATTAAGTAAAAAAATGTTTCGTATTCATATGGATGAATATTTGCTCATTGATCTTTAATAATAAGAACGTTGAAGTTGCCTATAAAATTCTCAAATCAGTATCCCTATTCTTTAATGTTCTCATGTTTGCCAATTTTAAAAGTTAGTTTTGATGACTGTTCATGCACAAAATTGGTTTACTGATTAACCGATTTCATTCATACTGGTGGTTGCTTTTCAGTGTTCTTGAGGGCCATTGTCATTGGGACAGTGTAAGGCATGTCGCCATTGCTAACATGAATGAGTTTGACTGTCGAGTAGGCGGGACAGGTCAACTTTGGCCTGTTCGTGCTGTGCATAATTGATTCATGTGAGCATTGATCGGAATAACTATACATATGACGTGAATGTGTATATGAATGGTGCAAATGGTCCACCAGGGTGCTTGGTACCTGTGTGGTTGCGCCACAGGATTGAGCTGTACTATTCAGATTGTAGCGTTAAAACCTATACAGTGTCTGGCTCTCCTGTTAAATGGGATTGAGCTGTCCTGTTTGGGTTGTCACGTGAAAGTCTGGATGGTTTCTGGTTCTCCTGAAAACCAATGTAAAATTACCCTGGCCCACAAGCGTATATTATATAATTATATATATATGAGTATTGGTAGGTTTAACTCAACTTTTAATAAGATACAAACTATCTACCATCGCACTTTTAATTCTGAGCTAAAATCCAATAGTCTCTAACTTAAATCGGACTGGTTCTTCAGTAAAATATACATTTCTACCTATCTTTTGAGATTGTAGTTTATCATCATTGTTAAATTATGTTATTATTATTATCATTAGTATTTTTTTTAATTTCCTAGGTAAACCATTACATTGTTGGGTACCACAAGAATTCACAAGTTCATGGGAAGATTATGCTGAAAATATTTGTTGGGTACAAAATACTTATTTTCTTTTACCAAATGAAGCTATACCAGAAGATGATTTTGAAATGTTAAGAGTACGACATATATCATATTATCAATGGGTAGCAATTATATTAGCTGGACAAGCTATGATGGCATGGGTACCGCATGTATTATGGCGAGTTTGGTCAAAACGTGTACCTGTTCTATTAAAAAATGCACGTGAAGCTGCTGTACCTGATAAAGAAGTACGACATAAAGCTATTAGTTGTCTTGTAGCTGCATTAGAAGAAATTTCTGAAGCATCAAAACGTTATCGACGTACTCGGGGAATATTTCAACGTTGTTTAGGTGGTCCACCGCCGACTACACGTATTACATTATTATTTCTAATTGTACGTATATTTTTTATTGCAAATAATATTGGACAAATTTATGTTATGAAACATTTTATTGGAACAAATGATACATTATTTGGTTTACATGTATTTCAAGAATTATTAATCGGTAGTGAATGGGAAGTTAGCGGTTTATTTCCACGTGTAACATATTGTGATGTAAAAGTTAGAAAATTGGGACAATTAAAACCTGCATCGTAAGTTCTATTAAATTACATTTGATTTGATTTGATTTATGTTTTTTTTTGTGTGTAATTTCTAATTCAGTTTGTTAATGTTCAAATGAGATTTGAAGTGGAATTCATGAAATACATATTGTCCTCTTTTATCATTTTGATGTACTTACATCTCAGTGTAGATATTCTCAATCTCACTTAAACCCAGAATGTTTCCAATAGCAGGAATAATCCAGCCATACTTCAATTTGTGGTTTAGTGATAATATCAAAAATATCCTTTCAGAAAGTACGTATCCTGATAGAGACAAATAAAAAAAAACCATACAAATCAAATTGTTATAGGTAATATGTTATGTCTCCAGCTTGCACGATTATTGTGAAATACGATTGCCAAATTTAGATACGCTGAGTTATACGACTTAACTAATGAAAAATTTACCAGTACGGACAGCTTAGAATTCCGATTGGTCCTCTTTTCGCCTTGCCCTGCCTGTTAAGTCCAGAACACTAATCTCAACCTTTGCGATACTTGTCATATATTCCAAACATACTGGGTTTATATACAAGTAATATCAGACCACATCACAGCATAAAATAGAAAGCAACATTTGTACAAGATCAAGATGAGAAGTGTCTGTGATTGTTAAGGACTGTTACTGATAAATTGGGAATATCTAAAGAATAGTAAATAATGGAGTTCAACCAGGTCTGTTTGAGATATCAACTCACTGAAGACAATTGTGTACGGTGGCGCAACCTCGTGGATTGGTTGAAGTTAGACACTAACACCACTGGATGCCGGCCGGCTCAGTGGTCTAGTTCGTTAAGGGCCTGGCGCGAGACTGATAGGTCCTGGTTTCGAATCTCGCGGGGTACGGGATCATGGATGCGCACTGCTGAGGTGTCCCATACTGGGATGAAACGGCCGTCCAGTGCTTCCAGGTTTTCCATGGTGGTCTAGCTTCAATTGACTCATGATTTCAACCAGTGAAATTTCTAAAACGAAAGATCTCCACAAAACCCATTCTGATTGTATGATAATAGTCAATAGGTCAAATAAAAGCTTATAATAAGAGGAATATCAGTATGAATAGTTTAATATCTTAACAGTTATACAATAATAATATAGTTCATAAATAATTCTTAAAATTTACCATTCATTTATTCTCTCCCGGATATGACATATTACTTAGAATTTTTTTTAAGTTTAACATGATTTAGTGACAATGGATAGAATTAATTTACACTATGGAACGATTTTAGGTGGATAAATATTAAAAAACAAGGAAGAATTAGAAAGCGTATGAGTGTAAGAAGACTTTGATAATTCCTACAAACAGTAAACGGAAATCCGGAAAATCTTAAAAATACTCCGGCTAATCAACATTTTTCAGAGAGTTTCATTAGATTTGTCTCATGCCAATTCGGTAGCTAACAGTTTGTTATACTTTCCAGAAGCTTCTACAATAAATAGATTACATAGAGTCCTAAAATTAATCACATTTCTTTTTACATAAGCTTGCTTCCGAAATACGTTTCCATCAAGATCTCACAATTCCAATTTACTATTTAAAGACATATATGAGGTTGGGAATTCAATGCATAAGCGTTCAAATACAAAGTATATCACCTAGTTTTATAAATCGAATCTGATGTGACATTTATTCATAATATACATTCACTTAAATACTTCAGCTTAACTATCGTTTACTTTCGGTCTAATATCTAATCATCTGTACAAAACTACACACTAAGTTATATTTGAATATTTCACATTGGAAATACAATAACAAGTTTCAAAGTGTAAATACATAACGGGTTCTAGATATATCGACCAAATATCTTTCTTCTCAACAATCATGTTTTTTTTAATCGAGAAATATTTATTACTGATAGTTATATTGTTATGATGAAATAACAAATTCTATTCACCTATCATTAATATTGTGGGTTGAAATGTATTGAAATATTGTAATGTTCCTTGATGGTGAATGGATTTTTGTGTGTTTTGTTAATCAGAGTATGTTTATAGTGTTCCAAAATCTACTTTTACAAGTGTGTTTTTAGGTCGTTCCTACAGTAATAATGTTTGCAAACATTATAAGCAATGAATAATTATCATTATTATTCACTGGTGAATTGGATTGTCATTTTCATAGGAACCATAATTATAAGAAGAACGTTTATGAATTTTTCACTTTTGAAAAATACATAGGTCTATTCATGGACAATGTTTGAGCTTACAAAACGAAACATATATTTAATTGATACTTGTATAATACTGATCGAAATTGTGATTTATAGTGAAATACGGGATGCGCGGGTTTATTCTTGTTAGTTTTATGTGTCTGGATACCAATGTTCACATTGAAAATCGAATCCAACACGAACGAGTTGTTTATTTTACGGGCATTTAATCCAAATAAATTATTCAAACTCTATAAATATGTTTATGTAACGATTTTAGGCACTGGCTGTATAGACAATACTTTAATGCTTGATGCAATTGATATCAGATTCGGGTTCCCGTTGCTAGTTACCATCACAATGTTACAAGTTTAAAATGTTTACTGAATTGTGCTTCTTTCCATTCACTTTGATCAGAGACTGGCTTTGGATTATTCTTGAATATCTTGTTCTTTGTGGTTGATTTATAAATGTATAACTATAATAGTGCCTTCTTCATAAGGAATACACTTTCTGCATGCCACAGTCTTTATTCCTATTTTACTTATGAATAGATACAAATACTTGACCTGGTTTCTTTATGATTTCCATTGACTATTACATAACATGTAGTTAATCTCTCTTCAGTTATCATACCTGTAATATCGCATTAGTCAAATCAAAGGTCTCCTTTATTCTTCTACTGAAATATAACACTGATTACTAACCACTATAAAAAACTTAATCATACAGATGATCACACATTCGGTGTGGCTAAACGGTCATATCCGTGAATGTTGACCAAATGGCATGAATTTGGTATCTAACAAGGAACATTCATGTTCGTACTCTTACAAATATGCCTTCAAGCGTTCACTTGATATTAATAACTGACTACAATATTAGACACTAGTTAACTTACTAGCCAAATTAGATATTAACACCTTTGAGCAACCGTTTAGTAGTCTAGAAGTCAAGCGTTAGCGCATGAGACTGGATTCGATTCTTGCACAAGGAATCATGAATGTTTACTGTTGAACCGTTCCATACTAGAACGAAATGACTATTCCAAGCTTCCAGGTTTTCAATAGTGGTCTAAATTTGATCAGTTCATGATTTCGATGAAAGTTAATTTGTATTTGATTAATCCATGAGTAGTGATCTATGTAATACTTGTCTAAACTTCCAGCGTTCCAATTCTATCTACCCAATATATTTCGACGTTAAGTGTTTCGTTAAGGTTAGAGATAAGTCATGTTAACAAACTTTAACTACTATGAAAACTAGATCCTTTATTTCTGTTTTACTATTTCAAACCATGTAACATGTCAACACACGTTAATCTATAAGTAAATCGGTCAATACATCATTAATAAAAGATGATGATATTGTCTTACTGTGCGATAATGCCCAAGGCATGCAATCCGCACTTAATCAGTTGGCAATCAGTGTCTGTAGGTATGGTATGTACTTCGCACCTTAGAAGTGCAAAGTACTTCTACAAGACTGTCAGGACTCTAATCCTGTTAGTCTGGCTGTAAAAGGTTAGATCTACAACTCGTCGGTGAGAGCAGTTTTGCTCTATGCTTGTGAAACCTAGCCTCTCCGAGTTGAGGATGTTAGACGACTCTCTGTGTTTGATCATCGTTGTCTCTGAAAGATTGCTGACATCCAGTGGCAACACCATGTCAGTAATGCAGAGGTTCGGCATCGTGTGTTCGGGCACAGAGATGATAATGCAATTGATGTCACCATCTTGAAACATCGACTTCGGTGGCTTGGACATGTTCTACGAATGTCGTCCCAGAGAATTCCACGTCGTGCATTATTTGCCGACGATGGGACTGGTTGAAAGAATCGGAGAGGTGGTCAGTGTATGACATGGTGTTGTGGCGTGAAAGAAAGCTGCAAAGGACTGGCTTGTGTTGTTCCTTCACGACTCCCTGTCTAAGGTTCGAGTGATGGTGATACATAGTGGCTAGAGACATTATCAGATATGGCTGGTTGTGCATTTCCGTTCCCCCATTATTATTATTATTATTATTGCACTACCTTACACCAATCTGTTCGTTATTGTTCTCTTTTTCTTTCACACTACTTACTTTTTTTTCCTTTTCTTTAAATTCTCATTGTTTTGTGTGGTGCATATATATTTGGTTCCCTCTTGTATCAAATAAATAAATAAATAAAATAAAGGATGAGCATTCAAGACTGTATTACTGTCATTTTAAGTTAGTTCAGTACTCATTTCACCAATCTTCAATGGTAAGAAATTATGGTAATAATAATAATAGTAATAACATTTTATCTTACAATCAAAAGTGATAGCAACAAAAAAGACGCAGCAAATGTTTAGGTCATACTGATTTGTATTTATTAAAAGGAAATGATAACTACACCAAAGAAATAATTTATCTTTTTGTCTCTCATCTCTTACTTATATCTAAAATGTACCAAAATAAATTTTAAAAAAAAAATTACTTTCATCTTTTCTGATGTTTTACTAACCTTGAATGTTTATGTCATATATGTATATTACAATATGTTTACACCACCTTTCTCTTTTTCTCCCCCCCTCTCCTCTTTCTCTTTTCATTTACTCTATAATTTAATCTATATGATATTCATCTATTTAGTTAACTTTTGGCCTAGTTACTATTCCATCTTCGGTTGTATCTTACCACACACACAAAATAATAATAATAAATGGTCCATTGTATAATGCTGAAAAGGATTTATTCAAATAGGAAAAAGTTTTTTTTTTCTTTTTTTTCGATTGAAATAAAAATAATGTCAACGGACAAATAGTAGGAAAATAAATTACTTTTCTAGGTCAATGACAATAATAATAAT